ACGTATAAATCATTATCTTCATCATTGTTAAGTAATTATAATATCAACACATTTATATATGACAATCTTTTTTTTTTAATCCATAATTCCTGAATTTTATGAGTGGTGAGGCGGCGATGCTTCGAATTTTGTATAATAATCTTTTTGAGTGAGGCTTGTGCATTGGAATCAAAAAGTGGCTTTGGGCCGCAACGTTTTTTTGGTATTGCAGAACCTGTTTTTTTGAAACGTTTTATCGCATCATGGACAGTCATTTTGCCACATTGGACATTGTCAGCAATTTTCTGATATGAATCACCTCGTTTGTGGCCATAAAGAATTGCCCCATATTGTTCAGCCGTTAACTCTTTTTTTTTACCCATTTGTATTTGTTATTGTTATGATCTACATGCTAAATAAATGCTTAAATTAGAAATATACGCGTAAATGATGTAAACAAAGCAAAAAAAAATAAAAAATACTTATCGTTCGGAAACCTGTGATCACCCTCTGTATATAGTAATAGTGGTAAATTTAAAAAAGGGGGATGATTTTCAGATCAAGAACATGTGATCTACATTACATTCTCATTTGTAAATTCGTTATCTGAAGAAACAATTACTATGTTTATATTTTAATGCTAATATATGTGATTAGTTATACAGATTAATTATCATAAAATTTATTATTACATTACAGAATTAAGAATTGATTTAAATTGTGCAAATCATTTGTCAGTTCATTCTTTCAGATTGCCATTCTTCATTATAATGAAACAAAGCATTGTAAATGCATTATATTTAAGATCACAATCTGACAACAATTCAGAAGTTATTAAAAAATATCTTAAACAAATACAAATAAATGACAATTAATAATTAACAATGGTTATTTTAATAAATGACAGTAAATAATAATAGCACATACTGTGAAGGTTGATGACATGAAGTTTCAATCATATGATTATGAACTAAGTATTCATTTTTAGGATCCATTCCTTGGTTAATCTCAACAACACAAAATGGTGTTTTGGCCAATTCTTGTAATGCCATTAAATACATGATAGTTGATACAGATCTTTCCTGTAAAATAATATTTTGTATAAATAATTAATAAAAATCATGTGTTTTTTTCTCTTTTTATCTTACTACTTATACATACATCTACTGATTGCCTTTGACCAATCAATAATTGTAATTCTTCATCATCACTTTTTTATTTAATTTTTTTTTGATTTGTTAATTAATATATTATTATTTTTAATATATAATTTTTTAAAAAACATAAACATGTGCCTATGCAAATGTATATTTTAAAAATTCACATGCCTAAAATTTACCAGAATATTTATACCCATTTATCATAATCTTCATGAGTGTTGATATGCACTTCACCAGTACATCTGATTTCTAACCAATATTAAAATTTTAAAACTTTGTATATAATAGTGAAAAATATTTATAACATAATGATGATGATGATAACAGTTACTATTAAATGCATTTGAAAAGAGTTCACCAATTTTTCTAACCAATTCATATAATTTAGGTTCCCATTGTTCCTATTATACAAAAAATACATTTACATTTATCCTTATGTATGTGTGCATATATAAATGTGCAATGTATGATAAATGATACATTTTCCTTTGCAATTTCATTATTTAGCTCTTTTAATGATAATTCTCTTTTTTCTTTTTGAGATCTAAGGAAATCAATCTAAAAAAAAATTAAATATAAATTAAATATTTGGATTCCATAACTACAAACAAAACATATAAATTATTGATCAATACTTGAGCTTGTCTTTCATTGTATGAATCTATAATGTTAGGATCAACCTCATTATAAAGGTTTATATTTTCTTTTTCATGATCAATAGCATTTCTAATTTCTTCTAATGTCATTTTTTGTGATATCTTAAAAATAAAATAAAAATTATCAAGTAATGTCAAAATTATTTAAAATTATTTCAATATTCATTTTTTTATAATTAATTAATTACTTCTTGAAGTTCTGCTCTTGTCACATCATCAAGTTTATTTATCAACTTATCTGATTCTTGGCAATGATATGTCATCTTTTCTTCAATTTCATCAAATCTTCTGGTGACTTCATTTTTTTAATACAGAAACAAATGTAATTAACATCTATGATTATGACTTAAAGTTAACAGAATTCATGTTAAAACCAACCTTCACCAAGTCTATCAGATGTTTGCCTCAAAATATCTTTCTTTTCTTGTATTTGTCTACCTAACTCACCATCATCTTTCAAAACTTGAGTTAAGTTCTGATCTACTTTATTGCAAATTACATATATATCATTGGTTTTTTTAATAACAATTTTTACCATTGTTATCATTATTTATTATCATGATTAATTTAAAATGTATGACCATTAATAATTAACATAATGAGGCAAAGTATAAAATGAGAGAGGGAAAAAGTGGGAAAAAACCTGGTATCTATTAAAAGTTTTAGATTTCTTCCTTGCTATTTCACAAAGGGTTTCTTCTAGGAAAATTTCTTTTTCTTTAATTGATTTGGACAAATCAATTTCACATTGTAAATCAAATGCAGCCCCCGCAAGTGAATATTGTGCACTTGAAATTTTAGCTTGATATAATTGAATCTATTCATTCAGATTCAAATATGAAATATTATTAAAGATAAATATGTATGTATTTGTGTTTATATATGAATGTGTTTGTAACAATGACCTTTCTTAGAATTGCTTCTCTTTCCTTGAAATGTGTAACATCTTTTTTCAAAACTGCATTTATTTTTTCCAAGTTATTAAGTTCATCATTATCTGTATTTGATTCCTATAAAATGTATAAATATATATATTCAGCTAATCAAATAACATTATATTGAGAAAATGAAAGAATGAATATGAAAAAAAAATTTGAATTACTGATAACAAATTCTTTTGTTCACTAAGTTTAATCAATGATTTATGAAACTCTAATAATTCTTTTTCTCCAACCATCTCTTCAGTTTGGATTAATAATTCTGGTGGAGTCATCTAAAATTTAATAAATTAATACTTAGATCATTTTTCTGCAATTGTTATATCATGACAATATTATAATTATTATTCACTATTGCTATTGTTATTTACATGCGCAAACTTGCTAATTTTATCTTGAGTAAAGATTGGACTATATTAATAATTATGAATGAATGTTAATATTATTATTAATAGGCAATAATATTTAAAAAAAATTCTATATTCTGAGAATTTTCTTACCAAAGATTGTCAACTTGTATATTAAATGATTCAACTATACTCTGAATATTTTCAAGAGTAGTTTTTTCACCTAAATAGATATTTATATAATAATTATAATATTGATAAAGTATCAAATCAACAACACATATTTTGGGTTGGATGGAAAAATTTACCATTTAATGTCCATTGAGTTCTATTATCAGCTCTTGTGATCAAACAAATTATTATCACATTATCATCATCATGTTTAAATTCAATCTTTATAGATGCATGATCTTGTCCATCTTTTACCGTAAAGTCTGGAAAGATAGCATCCCCTTTTTACATATGTGTAGCATTTTTTAATATTGATGCTCAATTGTTTTAAAGTAGGGGGTGCTATCTTTCCAGACTTTACAGTATAAAATCAGAAATATTGCTCATATCCTTGAGAAACTTTGTTTTTTAGTGGGCATGGAAAGGGGAATAAATAAACAATAAGTAATATCAATCAATAGTTATTATTACAATTCTAATCTAACTTATTTTCATCAACAGAATAGCAAAATGATATAAAACATTTAAATTCCTAACCAAATTATTTTATCCCAAGCCAAGAGCAATGGCAAACATGAAAGCACTTCTACTCTCATTAGGTCCAATAATTAGATTGAGATTTGGATCAGGTCTAAACTCTACCAACTCATAAGTCATAAAATTATTCAATTCAATGCAAACAATTTCTCCATTTTGATACTGCTTGGAGTATAAAATATTACTAAAAAATGTTAAATTAACAAACAGAAAAGAATTTTAAAATCCTTGCCATATCATCATCATCATCATCATCATCATCATCATCATCATTATTAAGTTGTAGAAAAATTTCAAATAATGATTTCTCAATATCGTTTATCTCTGTTGCATTTTTTTCTGCAACTTTATTAAACTTTGAAATGTTTGCATCTTTTTCCTCTAGTTTTTCCAACATATTTTTCATGGTGAGTCGCAGCATTCTCTAATTTTTTAATTACAAAAGAAAAATCAAGTATTTCAATAATATTATTAATGGATTTTGAATATTCCATCAAAACATAATTTACTTACCAATTCTTGCGCTAGTGATGGTTGGAATGAACTGCTACTTAATATATAATAAAAAATAAAGTTTATAAATATTTAACCAGAATGAAGACGCGTCGCGACCACCACAACTATATACAATAACTAGAGTAACGACGAGTGGCGGGCGATAACCACCACCATCCTTAAAACACTTACCCTCTGATGGCACCAGTATTGTTTTCTTTGCTTCTTTTATTTTTCTTGTCATTAAACGACATTTTTTTTTTAAAGAAGTTTGTGATTTGATCGACGTGTACACTAATTATTTATCCTATTGGTTTTTTTTTGGTAGGACAGACGCAAATTGATTGACTGAATTTTTTTTTATTTTTTGACAGAGCCCTCCATAATGGATTTTCTTTACGTTGAGACACAAATTGTTGCACATAATCAAATGCTATAGCAAAATGTAAGGGGTCGCTTAATTGTTCAAGGCATTTCATGTCAATTCCAAAGGATATTCTAAAAAATCATATTATATTGAGGAAAAATTTTTGTTTAATTAGATAATTATCTTATAACAAATTAGATAAAAAAAAAATGATCACTAACTTTCCAAATGTATTCAAAGTAAATCTGAAAAATAAATCTTGTAAATCGATTGTGTCATCTTTGTTTGCTGTATCATTCAAAATATTTAAAACTGTCTTTGTCTCTTGTTCAAATACTTTACAAAAAATTTCACGAAAATTTTTAGCAATGAACAAATTATTGGTAATTTTTCGATAAAATTTCCATGTTTCACTTTATTTTTACATAATTAATAAATTATTATTATTGTTAATCATTTATTTGTAATTTTATTTTATAAAGTTACACACCTGTTTGAATTAAAAATTCCATCACCAAACAATTCTTTTCTCAGTTCTGTTAATACTTTGCCTTTCACATAATTTCAAAGTTCTCTATCAAAAAAAAAGGGGGGATTTATCAATTAAATTTATTCTTTCGATAAAAAAATGAAAACTACAAACCTTAAGAAACCATTCAATGTGTGAAGGTGAATTTAATAAAATAACTCTTCCAAGTAGAGGTGAAGTAAAGGTTCTAATTAACGCAAAAAAAAAAAAAGATTGTCATATATAAATGTGTTGATATTATAATTACTTAACAATGATGAAGATAATGATTTATACGTGACGGTTCCATATTTTAAAAACAAATCATTGATAAAAGATAAAAGATCTCCCGATCGTCTCATAAGTAGTAAATTTCCGATAATTGGTAGACCACTTGGTCCTTTTAAATCTGTTCTATCAGTAGAACCAATTGCACGGTTTGGATATTTAATTAACAGATGAATAATATATCCATTAATTATAATAAAAACCGTAAGAATAAGTCAAAATCTTTTTTTTTTAAGAAATAGAGAAAATAAAAAGATGACTAGTCTTTTTTTTTTTTATTCTAGTATCAATAAATAAGATTTTTGCAGGGGTGCGCAGTTTCATGAAATTTTTTGTGAAACTTTAATCAATATATTGTGCAAGACACCTAGTCCCACAACTTTTTATTAGCCTTGTAGATCCTTCTCTAACTCCAAAAATGGAAATGTAACACCAAAAAATAAGCCGTAATTTTGAAGCTAAGACC